GCTGTGTTGTCGGCACCCCAGCCATTCCCCACTACTTGCCCTTCTGGTGAATCTAGTCAGCCTATCTAGAGGTCTTTGTGTTAGGAGGGTCAGCTGTTCCTCATCTAGCAGTAATCAGTTGTCAATATTCCTTTGGATAAGACTTAGGCTTTTTAAGACAGGGTTTCACGCAGAGCAGCTCCCTAGCTGTGATCTATTCAAAGTCAGCCCTTGACACACACAAAAAAAGGGCTTCACTATGTAACTCAGGCTGGCCTTCAACTGCTGTTCTTTTGCCTCTCCTCTCAGGTGCTGGGATTATAAGTATGCGCCATTATGGCAGGCCTCAGAAAGCTATTTTAAAGAAGTTCCTAAAGAGCAAGGGAGAGCCACGGCTACCTGTGCTCCCCTGGGTATGGAATCAACAAACAACAGAACTGCACATGGTAGCAGGAAGCCACTTGGAGATTATCAGCTTTGGCTTCCAGAACTTTCACATCTACTAATTGGGAAGTTTTCTAGTGTTTTGACTGAGTTTTTGTTATTGTTGATGATGATAATATTGTTTTTTTTGAGATAAGGTCTCCTTGTAGCTTCAGCTGGCCTGGAACTCACTATATAGACCAGGTTGGCCTGGATCTCACAGAGATCCACCTGATTCTGCCTCCTGAGTCCTGGGATTAAAGGCCACCACACCTGGCCTTTTAGAGTTTTGAAAAACTGAAACTACTATTCTGAATTTAGTGTGGAAATGGTGCTTAAAATACGTCTGTGACAAAGCAGTTGTGGGATGGTGCTGCCCTCACTCAGGGGCTTTCTCCTCAACTAAATCTCTATAGAAACTGGCTCTCAGAGATTCTAAGGTGACTACATACAGTCACATTGATCCTGGAGGTTAATGGCACCCTTCTGTTTCTGTGTAGGAATGTGGGTCCCATGAGAGCAGGCCAAGCAATTAGTAAGTCATATGTGTAAAGGAAGCAGAGATCACCTAATCTAGTCTGCATCCAAAGTGTAGATTCCCAATAACCTTGGCTATGTAAGATTTGGTCGCCAAGCCCCAGTGGAACTACTTTATTAACAGTGTGTTCTGTTTTCAGATTACTCTACACTGGGGAGTTGGCTCAGTGGGTAAAAATGCTAGCTAGCCATGCAAGCCTGACAACCCGAGTTTGGATCACCAGAACCCACAGAAAAGTCAGAAGTGGTAGCAAGAAAATTGTAATCTCAGCTCACCTATGGGAGGAGGAGACAAATCTCCAGAAGTTTCTGGGCTTACATGAGGCAAAAAGATCCGGTCTCAAGCACAGTGAAAAGGCAAGGACCCACACCACAGCTTGTTTTCCACCTTCTACAGCAACCCGAGTTTGGATCACCAGAACCCACAGAAAAGTCAGAAGTGGTAGCAAGAAAATTGTAATATCAGCTCACCTATGGGAGGAGGAGACAAATCTCCAGAAGTTTCTGGGCTTACATGAGGCAAAAAGATCCGGTCTCAAGCACAGTGAAAAGGCAAGGACCCACACCACAGCTTGTTTTCCCCCTTCTACAGAGACATACCTCTCTCTCTCTCTCTCTCTCTCTCTCTCTCTCTCTCACACACACACACACACACACACACACACACACACACAGTAATAAAAATTAGAATGTCCCCTCCAGAGTTAGAAGGCCCTGATCCCATCTGAATCTCTGCCACTCTGCAATGTCATCCTCTATATTTCACTTACACATCGCTCTAGTATTGGATCTAGTATTGGATTACAAATTTATTTTATGGATCAATGACAAATCAGTGGAGTTCTGTGTATGACACTTTGAATGAGACTGTTCTAAAATATTACAGTAAATATCAATTACTCCACCTGTCAGATTATACCTTCAGTTACACTGTCAGCTTTTTGAGGTCAGGGACTCTATTTTGTTC